AAAATGAGCTCTGCAAGAACCTGAAGTCACCAGTCAATGACATTCATGTCCGGAAGACACAGTGTTGAAACGAACCAACCACCTTGAAAACATCCATAAGAAGTGTGAAACGCTTCTCATTTATCACTTTTGTGTAAACCATCAACTTGATGTGTTGGTCTATCAGCATGTCTGTCTTTCCGCAGTGCATCGTGTGAGGGATGTGAGAGGCAAATTCAACCGCTCAGAAAGCAAGAAAGCAATTGATCTTACGGTATCAGGCGCTATCGCAATATACGGGGACATCTTCTAGAGGAGCTTCAGGGAAAATAAAAACGGCTCACGCGGGTGTGCATCATATGGCGCGATCCCATTGGCATTGGAGCGCACAGGCCGTAATTACCACATCCTGCTGTGGCCGGACAACTCGTCCGCGCAACACATTCTGTTCCGTTCCTCTTGCCTTGGCATCAGGCCAGCGAAGCTATCCGCTCTTTTTTTAGATCTTTGGGACTCAGCGAGATTTTTGAGACCCAAATTATCAGATCGATCAATTACTGAAGTCTAGTAGTTGAGTGATACGGACGAGTTGTCCCCGCAGCAGGATGGGGCAATTGCGGCCTGTGCGCTCTAAATGCCAATGGGATCGCGCCATATGACCGCCTCCCCTCGAGAGGTATCAGCTCTCCCAAATGTGTCAGGTCGGCTCGCCGCGCGCGGCCGTTGGTCAGTTGCCGCGGCAAACAGCGATGTGGCAGTCGAGCAGCCCGCCTGCAACGGCCAGCTGGCATTTTGCCGGAACCCCAGGATTAAATCGATATCACGCGCTCTAATTTGGATGCTGGGATGCTGTATCATAAGTGAGATTTCTTAGTTCTTCGCAGAACTTGATCTTATGTCCATGATTGTAAGTTATTGGAGTCTTATGCCACGCTAAACGAATGTTAGTAACACGACTTAAAGGACGAATTTACGATGGAAAAGCAACCCATTCCAAATTGAGGTAGAGATGGTGAGTAGTACCAGAAAGAAAGCGAAACCACGAAAAACGGCCCAGAACCGGAGAAATGGGACCCCTTCCTTGTCCGTTGATTTGAGCATTGATGGGACTCTCATCGCTTTGCCCTCTTCAACCCTACGCTCTCTCAGCTATCTAATCACTCGCCACCTATTGTACTACGGCGAGTGATCAGACGATCGGTGGGCGGAGATCGCCGAACTCGCCAACTTTGAGCCATGCTAGATCTCAGAGGTCAAATCTTTCGATGCCGATTGCGTGTCTGTCCGCACCCTCAAGAGATTCACCGCTCTCCCCACTAGGCGATTTCTCCCTTCTTCGACCTTCGTTCTTTCCGTGCAATCCTCCTTTAAGTGACGGCCCACGCAGCCTAAGGTAACACACATTGTATAGCATACATTTATTATTGACTGTAAAACAACAAACCACAACAAAGCAATTTGACGGTTTATTGATCGTTCAAACACCGTAATGTTGTTCTTCTTTGGAATAGATGTGAAGAGAGGAAATAAACGCCAGTAAATTCGATAGAAGTTGCTCCTAAGATAAGAGAAACACATTGAAGCTTTTTGTTTTAGATAACGATATGACGGCTAACACGCTTATGCAGGGAAGAGAGGAACTTCTGCAATTCCTGAGCAATTTTCGTTCTCCCCGAAGTTTCCGCCCTCCTAAGCCTAGTCTAGAGGATGTTCCATATTCTTACAATAGCGCCATTCCTTATTCTGGAACATTCGTTAAAGTGACGCCTCAAGAAACATGAAGTTAAACGGCAAAACGAAGAGAAGATATAGCGAATTAGAAAGTGAAAGGAAAAAGCGCTTGCGGACCAGATGAGAGTATATCAAGACCTCGCCGAGCGGACCCATACCTCAGCCGAGCACACGGCGCGAGGGGGCTCGGCCGCCGCGCGGCGCCGACCTGACATTGTCGTGAGACTTGATCGTCTCCCCCTTCCCTCGCGCATTGGAGTCTCTCCTCTCCTGTCTAAGGGCTTGGTCCTGTTTTTAACAAAAAACACATGATTTGCGCAGTTTTAAATGCATTACCATCACAATGCCCCCGTATATTGCGATAGCGCCCACTATTGATATGGTGAGGTGTGGCATTGTGATTACTCTATCATAGAAAAGATCAACTGAATTCTGATGAATACTCCCCAATGGGCGAGGTCACAAATGTAGGACGGCACCTGCGGATGCTGCGTCCTTTATGCAGGAAAGGGGGAAGCAGACGTTGCTGGGAAAGAAATGTGGTCTTGATAAACGACGGCACATCAGGAATAAAAGGCTTGGTTGAAGTAGAGTGGTCGTTGTAGAGGAATTGTTGTCTGTGCAAATTGAAGAACTCGGCCAGTATTTGAACCCCAAACCATGCGTAGCCCTGGATAGCGGCGCCTCTTGTCCATAGGCTGCCTCAGTTTGAGTCAAAACTCAGAGTAGTGCTTCAGCGGAATCGGACTCATAAGCCTAACTTGACAATTGTTTTCTTTTCGTGATTTAAGGAATATTTTACAATTACCTCAGGAAATTTACTAGGGAATCATTATTAGGAACGAACCATTGCTATTCCAGGATAATACAAGACGCCATTACTTAAAAACTATCCTACAGAGTCGGGCATTTGATCAGAAGAAGTGATGGACGTTGGAGCTCGAGACTGCTCAATGGTATCCGCGCGAGAAGAAACGGCCACTTGGCCGCCCTCCTTTACGTTGGGCAGACTCTTTGGCATACAGAAACAACGTGTATGATCCTGTGTCCCTTAAGGTGGCCGTACACTGGACAACGAAAGCCCAAGACCGCGAGCAATGGAAAAGAAGTTGGGACCCGCGCAAGGCCAACCGCCGTGCTGATCAACGGGTCGTCTAAGTATCTAAGTGAGTGTCGTATAACTTCGTTATGCAGCGTGGAAGTACATGCACCATTGGAAGCAGTAGTCAGGGGCCCAAGGAAACGAAATGTTGCGTTTTTGTGGTCAAAGGTGCGCTAGTTGCAGCGTACAAGGCTTGCCATTCCTTTCTGAGCCCCGCCACGGTCTGTGCTCCGCCCCCAGCAGCAGCGCCCTTCGATTGCCAATGTGACGAGATATTCCACTTCCAGAGTGTATCCTATAACTTTTCATGGGATGCGTGATCAATCAAAGCATGATGCTTGCTGAAATGATAGAGGCTATCAGCATAACATGTGCAAACGACCTCCTAATTGGTTGCTAGCTCGTCCATTATCGGAGGTCAACGGGCAAAGAAAGGGGTCCCATTTTGCGCCTTCTTGACGGATTTCTTTGCTTTTTTCGCCTGGAAGCATTATTCAGCATCTCCACTTCCACTATGAACCCAGTCAAATTGTATCTAAATCCTCTCTTTAAAGTATGTACGCAGAGGTCACGATCCTGATTTTTTCTAAACCGCAGAATCTCTCCCACCGCTCATTTTTCTCCTCGTGATTTCGTGAATGCATTGATGCACCGCGCGCTGCTCCATATGTGGAAGGAAATTCAAGAAAAGTGCAGGTCTGGACGCAGCATAATTTGCTCACCCGGGACAGTCTGAAGGTACACCTACGAGATTGTATTCTTTTGGAACAATCCTTAGTTTGCATGGAGTTGCAGAGCCCGCAAGACTTAGGTTGTTCCAGTTCTACGATACGAAGATGTGCAACTATAATAGTGCGCGAGAGCCTTGCCAGTGGTCCTGTACCCAAGCTGTCGCCGCTAATAGTTCTTGCAATTTAGTTGTCGATCTGCCGGCGCCCGTCGTTGAGCCATGCTCTCTAGCAGATCCCCTCTCCATGGCGCGCCGTGTCTCTACGTCGTACCACGGATGACACACTAAAAAAGGAGGCGCTCAACTTGAAGGTTCTTCATTATTTTTTTGTTGATTTTCTCGTTAATTTGTTTTTGACAGTCCCTTGCACACCCACACACACATTCATTTCAGCAAACTATTCAAATCTTGGTTCTTAGAAGACATTTTGACCTGCCTTCGGTAGATTCGATAACAGTCATCGACGACTAGTAGGAATGTGTTGGAAGCCGAAATGCGTTCTGTCTTTATTGGTCGATGCAACTTATTACCCTAATTTCCGGTGTATAAGCCCGCGCCGATTTCACGTAAAACCACCCCCGCTCGTGCAGTGTAACTTTGTACACCTTAGAAACCACCGCAAATTTGCCTATAGAGGTAAGTCGATGCCCTGATCACGAAAATGACTTTCATTTTCAGCGCTGGCGCCATCTGGCGCCAGTTGGCGCCACCTTGTCACGACCCTTGTTTTCGCCAAAATCGGTGTAAACTTCAGTATAGGGGTTATTTGGGACCCTGATTACGAATATGACATTCATTATAGGCGCTGGCGCTGTTTGACGCCTATTTTCTGCTCGTCTGCGCTCTCCAACCGAGACATGTGCACTAAACAACGTTAACGCCAAAAACGAATGTCATATTCGTAATCAGGGTCCCAAATAACCCCTATACTGAAGTTTACACCGATTTTGGCGAAAACAAGGGTCGTGACAAGGTGGCGCCAACTGGCGCCAGATGCCGCCACCGCTAAAAACGAATGTCGTTTTCGTGATCAGCATATCGAATTACCCCTATGGGCATGTTACGGTTGACTCTAGATGTACTCAAGTACACTGCACCAGTGGAGGTGTTTTTACATGATACTAGCGGGGGCTTATACACCGGAAAATAGGGTATTTGGACGGAAACTACTGTACTCCCTTTTTTCTTGGGCTTTAGAAAAGTTGCTAACATATTTGGTGTTGTCCTGTGAGAGCATGGAGGCGCGCGTTTGTCGAGCAGGTGGTTAAATCCTGCGCCTGCAACTGGGTTGCAGTGCGCAGCAGCAGAGATCTATCATCAACAATGTTCCACCATCGATGGAACAAGTGAAATCGTCGGAGAACACAGCTGGCTCAACAGAAGATGTTCAAGATATTGAAGTCTCAGTAGTACACTTTATTTCATCACATTGAAATTGTTTTATTGTCACGTCACAGTTCATCGGACGACAGGACAGTAATGATCTGTGCTGCAGGCCACAATCTGACAGATGTAGAGCAGGTCCTTGGTGCAGAACTCGTTGAACCAGAGCCCACTAAAATGATCAATGCATCGTACTCATGGTCGGGTGGGTCCCAAAAGCGTCAGAGCGGTCGACTGAGAACGCTGCACTTATGGTTTAACTTACCTGGCAATTGACACAGAAATCAGCGGAATCAGCAGCCTCAGTGTAACAAGAAACCGGCTATCTATCGCTAGTCGCTGGATCAGTTCTCTACTTGGGGTTCCTTTTGCCGTATCGTGCCATTTTGTTTCCTCCCCTTATTCACTTTTTATTAGTTCCATCTACTACCCGGTTTTGGTCTTTCAGCGCTGCAGTGTATTCGTAGTTCTTGTCGACACCCATTCCCATCTTGTATTTTTTCTCTCACTGATCCTCTTCTGCATTTTTTTATTTTCATTTTTTCTTTTCATTTTTTAATTTTTTCCATCCATCGTAAATTATCGTTTCCAGAATCAATGCGAGAGTAGTAGGCGTTTTAATCCTTTCTATGAACAAGCCTAAGCATTTCACTATCTGTGGGAATGTCTTGTATGCAATTTGGTCTCATGCAAGGGCTTGCGGGGACAGCCAACGTACGAGTCAGTGTTTTTGTCCTCCCAGACGAGTGTGCTAACAGTTGAGCCAATCACGGTAGGAGAGAAGGTTTGGCTAGCTGAATGGCGCACAATCCGAGATTTGATCCGCAATCCGTAGAGTGGTAAGCAGAGTCTACTGTAGCTACACTACTTCCACCCCTTCGGAGGGAGGGGGGGGGTGTCCAACGGAAGGCTCGTCGCTCTATGAAAAGGCAGAGACGCAGCAGATGAGTTGCAACCCACGCTGCGCAATGTAAGGCGCACTTAAGTACATCCTATTTAATTTGATGCAAAATCACCACATAGTGTTGCGACTCGTCCGCTATCCCGTCTGCGTCTGGCTTTTCGAGCATGACGGGCTTCCTGTCGGAAACCCCCTTCGGGCTCGAATGCTACTAAAATAATTTTGAATGGAAGTGTAACAGGTGTGGCGCATCCCAAAGGATCGATAAGTGATGAATGTTTGATTTTGTCAGATAAACGTGTAATTCCTTGAAGGTAGTAGTTTTCTCATTAACCACCTCTGCCACATTTTGTGGAGTAGTCTCCCTTGATCTGTCCTGCCCCTAATCTTACTCTGTTTTAACCCTGATCTGTCAAAGTTCTGGGGTTGAAAAGCTGAAATCGAAACCAAGCTGAACTCCATAGATTACGAATAAAGTGATGGTGACAGTGCCTGCGAGAATACCGACAAGCAAACAGTCTGTCTTACATACGAGGTTGAACCACCAAAGCCGTGTGTGAAGGGGGTCAAAATAGAAGAGGTCGTTTTCTGGAAACTCGGTAATGCTCGTGGATGAATGAACGAAACTTCGTGAAATATGTAGAATTCAAGTTCTACCCCCTTTCCACACCGACGGACTCTGGAGGCGGGGTTGGGGTGGTTCAAGTAGTAGCAGGTTCACCAACACGGTCAAACGGGGCGTCTTCTCCATAGAAGGAGGGCAGTCATCAGTTCCCCAAACATTTCAATGTGGGCCTGTAGATCTTACCTAATCATGAGTTTCTCTGAGTATCAGGGCTTGGTAAAGTGACAAACATAGACAGACGAAAATGGATGGGCGGGAAAATAGACAAACGTATTCTTAAAGCTCGCTCACGTGTTATGTGCTTTGCTGTACTCCATCCTGACACAGTCGCCTTGTTGAGAGTCGGGATAGTTTGGTGCCCACTGCTTGAAGTCCACATCTTGGATCTGAAGACAATCGCTACACTATGGTACTTGTACCTGAAGCAGGCGCAAAGGTTTGTGACATTTTAGAAGCGTTCAAGCGAAGCCAATTCTAATAGTGGGGAGGGGGGAGAAGCCCAACTGAACATAACTGGAATTCTCTTGTGTGAGCTCGGTTAATTGAAGAAAAAACTCGCGATAAACTGATACCGTTGAAATCAGAATGTAGAGGTGCTGAGTGGCGCACTTGTGAAAAAGAAGCAATAAAAGTCAAAAAAAACGAACGGCGTCCTCTTCTCCCATTGAATTCAAATTGGAGAGTTACCAGGTTACTCAGCTTCAGGTAAGTGGTGCAACGTTTTCTTGTATTCTAAAGTTGAGAGTATGTCCATAAGAAACGAAATCGAAAGCTGATTAGTCATACTTCAAGGTGAGGCGGCTTGATATGGACGGCTCCCCTTGAAGGTAATCCACGCAACTCGTCCAGGATGCGGTACGCATGGATTCCGCTGGAAACTCCTTTGACTCATAATTTGTGATGGGCGCTGTCTGCTGCGAAAAGGCCACGTATCGTCAAACTAGACCCTTCTATGCCCTCTTCACTACCCATATTTCTCATTCGTAAACACAAATTTTATCGCGAGCTCTGCCTTTAAGTACAACAGCGGATGGAATCTGTCAGATCTATGAAGTTGACACTATTCCCAAACCCATTCTGGTTTCTCTGTTTATAGTGATATATTTTGGCTGATGCAATTTTCTTGAATAGGAAACATACAAGTTCCTTCATTGTGGCCTCGATTAAGCCGCCACGCGTATTTCGACTGATCCAGAATGGTAACTTCACTCGCATCACTAAATCACGAATTTTATTTCACATAAACTTATTCATTTACATAATTCATTTATTTCACATATTTCACATGATTGGCACTTGTTGAAGTCTGCTGAGGATAAATCGGTTGTTCATTGGATGGGAGCAAGCTAAAGGAAAGCAAAAAGACTTTATCATGAAGGAAAGTTCCCAAACCTTCGATATGATTTTCCAGTGGGCAAGCAACGACCAAGATAGAGATCTTCCGGACTGGTTTATCCCGACACTCGGCCTTATGCCGGCAGAATTCGTGTGCTCGTGGTACGGCATCGGTTGGATATGCTAGAACATGGCCCATTTGATGTGGAATGTCTTTTGGGATTGAGAGGCATTAGTATCAGCATCCATGTGATCTTGTGGTGCGTATTCGCGGTGGGGGGACGGATCAACGGGTTATGCGTCTCTTGATGTAGTTCGGTAAGGCTTGAAGAACGGGAACCAGCGTACCTTCACCCAAAAGCCTCAGTCCTTTAATCTGAGGCATGACTCGCTCTAATATGAGATATGTCCCGTACCTATTTATCGTATCGCTTCAGATGACGGTGTGTAGTGTCTGTCATTCCGAATGACAACGACTGGTAGGTAGAAGTGTACGATAGTGTTTTCATTCTCGCTTATCACAAGCTAAACTACCATCTCTGTTACTAGCTAGCGCTACAAACTGCTGGTCATCAGATTCACTTGAACGCCATCGTCACATGTGTGGTGGAGTCTGAATTGCAGAATTCCCTGGCTGTCGCCGTATGAAGAGAGTAGCTGGGTAATGCGAACGCGGCTAAAATTGAGGGCCTTCTATTTTATGTGGTGAAAAGGCGCTGTGTCGAAGAGACATTGGACGCCGAAGTGAGACATCAGACTTGAAGGTGAAAGAGCGTAGCGAGTAAGCGGGAGATAAACAGCAAAGTATAACCGTTGCCTCGCTCAAGGTTGAAGTGATAAGGCCCTGTTGTCCTCGCGCACCTTTGAGCCGCAAAAGCTGCACTTGTTCTGATATTGGAAGTAGCTCTACCCTATTTACGGAAAGGCTTGGTCCTGTATGAACTTGAATTGTGCCATCAACTTGACAATTGCTATATCTCAATATTCGTTTGACAAAATAAACTCAAAACGATGGACATGAGAATGGAATGCTTTGTTCGAGTCCCACTATAAAACTCACTTTTCATGAGGAAATCTGATTTCTCCTTGCTGTCCACAGTGGGCAGGCTTCCATTGAAGTGTCGGTGGCAGCTTCGTTGAGCAAGAGGCTAAAATGAACTATGAGGTAAAGGTGGATTTTACGATGAAAGGTAGACTAATGAAATAGGTTAGACATGCTCAGTAGTGTACGAAAGAAGAAAAAAACAAGAAAAACTGCTCAGAACACGATAAAGGGCCCCTTCGTGTCCGCTAATTTCTGCATCAGGTCCCTCTTCACACCTACGCTCTTCTGATGAGTTGCGCTAGAGGCTCAGACAAGCAGAGAGGAATTGGCCCCATCCACGCCAATGAGCGCACCAACTGGCGCATTGCGCGGAAGGGCATGCCTTAGCTCGCTGGCATATCCCTCAATGCGAACTAGGCGAGGGTCGCAAAACTAAAGGTTACAACCCAGGTAGAGGTTCGGGGTGAACGCGTTCATTCGGTCTGCATTGCACGGAAACCGACCGATAAGAGCGCTTGGGCCTTGCAAAGTAAGCTGCTGAAGCTGCAGATTTTTTCTCTTATCAGGCTGTTGTCTGGCGCTCTCTCATCTGTGTGCGCTCTCTCGCCTCATACTCTCCTCTCCGCGCTTAGTCTCTCATTCCCTTAGCACAGCCGATTAGGAAGGTGAGTGAGCCCTTAACCTAAGCGTTTTCGACGGATTCTTTTCCTTTTTTCTTTACTGCCGACTTCGCACCAATACATTCGCATTCGTGTACGAGAGCCACACCAATGTGACCCCGGGGCATGCCTTTAAGAGGTCCAGCTGTCTCTTCACTAAGTAAGTTTCTCCTTCTTCAGGCTTCGCCCTTGTCGTTGACTCCTCTTTGAGTATTTTGAAACCGACTTTCTATGGCCCACCCAATCATTGGCATAATCACATGGTAAGCATGCGGTCAATTAGTAATTCATGAATGATCATAGAGCTTGTTACAGGCGGATTGCTTACATTTGCACAATTTCCAGTGCCGAGGTTGAAGGCCACGGCAATTTGCCGGCTCTACGTGCTCAAGGACATTGCCATGTCGGTGGATATAATCGTGGCCGTCAAGATCCACTCAGAATTCATTGCACAGGGAAAGCATGCTTTCAGTTCCACCACAAATTTTGTCAGAGGTGGGTGCATGGCGCCTCTCAAGAAACTGTTTTAAAGCCAATTTTCCATCCTTAGTTCTTCTTATCAAACAGTGCATCTCCTTGGCCTGTCAGCTTTGTGATCTCTCGCGACCAATACATCATTAATCACACTCATTAAGGGTGTGTACTCATGTGTTGTCCATCATTTTTATGGTCTTCTATTTTGTTTTTCACCTTTCATCTCCCTTTTTGCTTTTATATTTCATGTGCTCTTTTCGGGCCGTATTTTAGCGCAAGGAGCGTTGGGAGAAGAATTTTAGTAAGCGCGCCAAAGGCGATTTCAAAATCACGTCGAACATAATGGGTTACACAAACTCTGGAAATCAGTACTCACTGTTAATCCTTTCGGGCGCACTGAAATCGGGTTCAGTATCCTCTCGGGCCTCGTCAACTCCGAAATGATGGTTGTCGTGGTCTCCGGCCTACAAAATGCCCCCCTCCCTTTCTCCGAATCCGCCGTGTTTACCTATCTTCTCAATTGCCTACTCGCCTTTCTACTCAGTTGTGCTTGTATTTAATTGCTTCAAATCCATTAAATGACCTTTTTGAAAAATGACATGCATACTAGACTAATTTCTTCAAAGGCACAACCCAGGACAGAAAATCTTGTAAACGAGTCTCTGGTCTGTAGGATAGACTCCTAGATCGCCTCAACAGGAAGGATGGGGTATCCCAAGGTTAGCTGCAGCAGCTGCAATATGACCCGTCTGCTAGCAGCCTGTCGTCTGGTGCCTCTCTTCTCTTGCGTGTCTCCCGTCCCACTGTCTGTCCGCGCCTAGTCCCTCAGTGCCTCAGCGCAGCCGCATCACGAAGGTAGAGAAGCCCTTAACCTGAATGTTCCCACGAAACTTTTCCCTTCTCCATGCGCGTCTATTCTATTCCTAGCATTTCGTAACAAGAAGCATACCATTATATCTGGGTGTGTTTTCATCTTAGCAAGAAGCGCTTTGGGCTGATTGAGGTGTGAATTTCTCATCTTCATGGGCAGGGTCCTGCACTTATGCTATGGATTCAGACGTAGAAAGCGTGCGAGCGTTTAGTGACCTAGTGGTTAGATGCAAGCATGTGAGATTTATGGGAACGATGCTTCTTCCCTAAGTATTGCGCCCGTTCACCTCGATCACGCTCTGGCATGAAGTTTGAATTATTTGATTCCTTTAGCGTTCTCTCATTCTCGTTCTCTCTGAGCTGTATGTTCACAGTTGAAGTAGAAGAGCGATTTTTTCTGAATGCTTAAACATTTTCTCTTGAATGATGAGAAGTTCTCAGCGTTCATCAATCTCTTTTGGGATGCGCCACGCCTACTACTTCCGATAGAGTCGTACTGCCATTTGGATGTGATTAGTCCCAACAAATATTGATGTTTGAGGGAGGCGGTTGGAAAGAAGTCGTTTTGGTTTAGCTCTGCAAATAGCCTCCTTAATACACAGTATTGATTTTGGGACTGTGTTAAGATGTCTCATTTGCCGCCACAAATTTCTGCTCCTGCCCTCAAATTTTCCCCTATCCCAAGATAGTCCGTCTTCCTATTCATCCAATTTTGATAGGTCTTCCTTCCCAAAATCGACCATTCCGCTACCGAGATCATAGATGCGACCCTTCCCATAGAACTAGGTGTAACCGACCTGGATTGCAGGAAGTGTGGACTTTCTGTAGCATCCTCCTGCAGGCACGTCGTTCTTCGCTGTGAACGCCTTGTAATAAGTGGGACAGAAGCAGTTGGCTAAAATATTTTATCGATAATCTATCTATGCATAGATTGTTATCATCAATCTGAAATTCAAAATTAGGAGATTCTATCAAATATGAAGAAAGTACGAACCTTTGCAGAATAACTGATGCAACTGGCGAACGTCCACTTTGGAATGGCGGTTCGTAAGCGCATATCCTGGACTTGCTAGCGTGTCGAGCATCATGACAGGAGCACCGTGAACTTGTACGTACTCTGCAGGACAACGTCGTGAATGAGAACAACTTTGCGTTCGAGTGACATGGTGGGTTTTACAGCTTCGTTATCTCATTGGAGCCTAGTGAAGTCTTTAGAACGTGGAGCGCGTTTCGATACGGTTTTTGCATTCAATTTCACGACCATCTTTATGAGATCAGACCCAGACACAATACTGCTCCCAGACCTATGCCTAAAATCCTTCTCAAGACTCCTTAATCTTTCCTCTTCTTTCGCAGTGTCATCGCTCACTAAGAGCAAGTGCACATAATAGCCGTGTGGAAGATTAAAGCGCTAAGTTGCTGAGTTCACAGCAGACCTCTCTCTCCTCCGTGCTAGAGGATATCTTTTCTTGAGCACGCTGTGCGTCCTGCGCAGATGCCCACAGGTGCTATCCTACTTTTTTTGGAGTGCTATAAGCATAATGAGAGAAGTACCGAGAAGACTTGACAAATACTACCCCTGTGTCCCTCCCCCTACTCTCTCCATCCAATGGAGTGCCACGACTCTTTCTTCTCCACTCCTACTCTACCTACTATTTCCTCCCCTTTACCCCTGAGTTTCTTTTCCAGAACATCCAAGGTATGAGGGGTAAATTGTACACCAACTCGGGAAACTTCGTTAAATTTCAAAAACATCGTCCACCAATCTTGCCGAAAAATCTTTGACGATTTACTCTGTTAAACTTCCTCCTTTTATGTTCGATTGGGCATGGATTTCTCATCAGAATTATTGGATTTAGCATAAACTCCTCTTCTTTTTGACACTTAACATACAAATAACATTCAGGCAGTGGAAGTGCACGTTTTCATCCCATCTCTATTCTAAAATGAAGTAGGTACATGGATCATTGAAGTGTCTAAAGGCAGTGATTGTGGTAGGTTTTGGACCGGTTTAGAAGAGAGCTGGTGGTGCTCAATGATACGTCAGTGGCAAATAAAGCAGAGAAATCGGTCAAAAAACAACAAAAAACAGGCCCCCTTTTTTGGCCGTTCGGTATTCACCCATGAACAGGTAACATTTCAAAAAGCGGA